CGCATTTAACCTACCTGCATAATTCAAGGTGGGTAAATATAACAAATCTAAAATCTATTGTATAAGCATTAAAAAATATTTATAACGCTGAATAAAGTATGTGTTTCTGTTTTCACCTATTAAAATATGCTACAACTCACAATATGCTAGTCCATAAAAAACAATTTTGTACTAGAAATTTCGTGGTAATTGGCATAACCACGAAAAGGATCCCCTTAGAATTAGAGTCATCTCAACCAAACTCCTAATGTGTGTTCTGGAATCTGGACTTACCTGTTGGTCCTGACTTTGAAAATCCAAAACTGCTGATGGCCGTCATGGTTTTGTAACCCTTCAAATTTGAATTGAAATAAAATAGGCTTAAATAAATTTTTAATTCCTCAAATTTTAGGTAAATTTGTTTTTAGTTCCTCAAATTTAAAATTGGTCTTTTTAATTTCTGTAATTTCAAAAAATCTTGTTTTAGTCTTTATACTCAAATTTTGTTAAGAAATTTATTAAATATTGTATAGAATCTACTACTAGTGTCCTTGTCAATAAAATCATCACATTAAACCTGGTGGATATTGTATAACTGTCTCAAATTATTAGTTTCAAATATGGTGATCTAAGGGACTAAAACAAGATTTTTGAAAATTACAAGGACTAAAAACAGTAATTTTAAATTTGAGGAACCAAAATCAAATTTATCCTAAATTTGGGGGACTAAAAACATATGTAAACCAATAAAATATTTTGTTTAAATCAATGCAATTTAGGAGAGCTTTCAATGCATGGACATAAATTCAAATCCTGTTTTTTCAATTTGTGGGAGATATTTGGATAGAAGATTCCAGTTTCATGGATGCATATCAATTTAGTTTGATCTTTCACTCACATTTTTATTTCCCTCATCATTTTATACCTGGGTCAATAATCTTTGATTTCCAAGTTCTAGGAACGAAGCTTGGTTGTGTCTGCGTGAAATTGCAGTCTTTGATACTTTTTGTGCCTTCATTACTAAGCAATCTAGATTCTTCTGGAGCTGAATAGCACCTGATTTTGAAGTCTCCTTGTTGACACCAAGTGATGCATTTGACACTTTTAATAGACTCTGTCCTTGCTTATTATTTTCTTATCTTAAGCTTAGAATGAGTTTATCAGGATTTTGCATAATGTTTTATGCCAACGTATTTCTTCAATTATTGAATTTAATTTATGAAAAATTTATTCCAGGGTACCCCTATAATTTGGATTTTGATTATGGTGCGCTCTCACAACTTCAGCACTTTTCCATTAACAACCTGGGAGATCCATTTATCGAAAGCAACTATGGTGTCCATTCCCGGCAGTTTGAAGTTGGTGTTTTGGATTGGTTTGCCCGATTGTGGGAACTGGAGAAAAATGAGTACTGGGGCTATATAACAAACTGTGGTACAGAGGGAAATCTCCATGGCATCCTAGTTGGGTTAGTTTCAGCTAGTCTTATTTAGTTCAACTTCAACATTTCGTAAGCCTTTAAAGAACATCTAATATGGTTATATGACTTGTACAGGAGAGAGGTCTTTCCAGATGGGATTTTGTATGCCTCACGGGAGTCACATTATTCTATTTTTAAAGCTGCTCGAATGTACAGAATGGAATGTGTGAAGATTGATACTCTTTGGTCTGGAGAGATTGATTGTGATGATTTTGAGGCCAAGCTTCTTAGGCACAAGGATAAGCCAGCAATTATAAATGTGAACATTGGTAAGTTTCTTCACTGTTTCTCTCACACATCTTGTGGCCCCCCTCCTCTTCACTTTGTTGATTCTTGCTCATACAACTGAAACAATTGCAGGTACAACTGTGAAAGGAGCTGTGGATGATCTTGATATGGTCATAAAGAAACTTGAAGAAGCTGGATTTTCGCAAGACAGATTCTACATCCATTGTGATGGGGCATTGTTTGGTCTCATGATGCCTTTCGTGAAAAAAGTATGTGCAAATGTGACCAGACTCGTTTAACTTGTATGAGATAGAATGATGAAATTTTAATCTGCTATCTTCATTTGTTCCAATTTTGTTCTGGTTGTGTAAATTTTGAATTAGCAAACATCATTTTGGTTCTTCCATGCATAACCTGTCAATTTTATGGTGGCTCATTTTGTCATTTATTTGCTTGCTTGCTATAAAGTAATTTTTAAATGATAGTAGAAACGTGTGTTTTGATGGTTGTTCATCAACCCACTTTATGTCAAGTATACACTTAACTATCATTGATCATTTACATGCCCATGAAACTGGACCACTTTTTTTTTCTTCCAATTTCAGTCTGGGAATGTTACTTTTGTTATAAACTGGTTATATTTAATGTTAAAATTCCATGCTTCTTGGCCATCTCATCTTTTGCTGGACAATTTATCTGAGCAGTTGGTAAAATAAGAATTTGAGAGCTATTCCTGTAGTTATGTGAACCTGACCATATTCTATATTATTTTGTATTTGCTTTCAGGCTCCAAAAGTCACTTTTAAGAAGCCTATTGGCAGTGTCAGCGTTTCTGGCCACAAATTTGTAGGGTGTCCCATGCCTTGTGGTGTGCAGATAACAAGATTGGAATATGTTAATGCTCTCGCTAGGGATGTGGAATACCTTGCTTCTAGGGATGCCACAATCATGGGTAGTCGGAATGGCCATGCTCCCATATTCCTTTGGTATACCTTGAATCGGAAAGGATATAGAGGTTTTCAGAAAGAAGTACAGAAATGCTTGCGAAATGCACACTACTTCAAAGACCGCCTTGTTGACGCAGGGATTGGTGCAATGCTTAATGAGCTGAGCAGCACGGTTGTGTTTGAGAGGCCACATGATGAGGAATTTATACGCAAGTGGCAGTTGGCATGCAAGGGGAATATCGCACATGTGGTGGTGATGCCAAACATCACTATTGAGAAGCTTGATGATTTTCTGAACGAGCTTCTGCAGAAGCGTACTACCTGGTTTCAAGATGGAAAGGATCAACCTTATTGTATAGCATCAGATGTAGGTGAAAAGAATTGTCTTTGTGCTTTGCATAAGTAATTGTAGCATCCAATCTCGAGTTTACCGCTCTAGTTGGTTTTTGGAGTGTTTATTATGCAGTGTACGTGACTAAGTTTTATCAGGATTTTGATGCAGTTAATAACATTTAGAATCTTCTTTGCTGTCCATGTTCACTTGCTTTATTGCTATTATTTTGCCCCACTAATTTGCTTGTTATTAACGTATTGTTCGATTTCCCGATTGAAAGCAATTGTTCCCAAAGTATGCTAAAACAAACGGATGAAAATTTGCGAAAAGAAGGCTTGCGTCGTAGATGATGATGTGCTCTGATTTATCTCGTTTCCTTTCCTGTTTTTAAATCAGAAAAAGCAACTATAAAGACGAGAAAATCTTATTAGAACTTGTTATAATATCTTGTCTCTTGGGTTCCATTCTATAACTTGTATATGCAGTGGTATTGCAGTATTATTGAGATATTGAAACTTTTTAGCACGTTTTTTTTTTTTTTTTAAATTTCAACACATGTTAATAAGTTTTCCCCAACCAAAATTATTCTTACGGAGGCCACAGACCTGTAAGTTTTTATTATTTCACAATTTTCTTTTGGCAATACATTTTAAAATCCGGAAGTGTGATGTTTTTGAAAGGGGTTTGTTGGTCTAAACGTGAAGAAATTGGTAATAGATTTTTTTTTTATTTATCAAAACTTACAGAACATTCTTATTATTAAAAGTTACGGATGGAATCGCATTAGAAATGACGAGGATTTTGGAGGGTGTTAGCGGTATTTTCACATATAAAAAAAAAACATTTTTAATTCTTTAGTCTTTTGTTTTGGTAAAAGAAATTTTAGTGTTCTTAGCGCTTATTAACATTCTCATCCTAATTTTTTTCTTGCATTTATGTCCTCCAATATAGTACTTATTCGATTTTAGATTCAAAATTTTAATTGAATAATTTTAATTCTTCAAATATTAAAATTATATAATATTAGTTTATCAATTTTTAATTGAATAATTCTAATTTTTCAAGTATTATCATTATACGATTTTAATTTCTTTCATTATAAATTTAATAACTTTTGTTGATTTTAATTTCTTTCATTATAAATTTAATAATTTTTGTTGATTTAAAACTAAGGAGTAACATGATATACCGAATATTTATAATTAATTTTCGTCTAATACATTTATATTATCTTATCTAATATATTTATATTTTAGTGAAAGTAAATTAATATATATTTTCTTCTAATACATTTATATTCTAATATAATTTTTTAAAATTATTAGACTTTAATTGAGAGGACTAAAATTGTATAATTATAACACTTTATAAATTAAAATTATTTAATTAAAATTAAAAAAAAAAAAATAACTGCAATACTTAAAGGAACTAACATTGATCAATCAAAACTTTAGAGACCATCTAAAAAAAACTAAAAAAAAGCTTAAAAAATTAAATTCACAAAATTGCAATACTTGAAGATAAAAACATAATTATAAAAAAAATTTAAAATAGGTAGTGAGTACTAATTAGAAGAAAATTTCTTCGCTGTAACAATCTAAAATGAAAAAAAAAAGTTTCTTTATTGAATTAGAAAATTAACTTTTTTTATAACCATGTTATTAATACTAAACATTTAATAATTTACGGCTTTCAACAGAATTTTATGCGTCTACGATATCGACTATAAAATTTGGTTGCCCACTTAATTATGTGTTTGATTCCCTTTTTTTTTCTGTTAAGATTGGAAATCCAATAATCTCCTTTGACGTTAAAAAAAAACTGAAATAACCCGAGCTGAAATCTTCAAACTCCCACATGCACCACGAATACATATTAGTCATTACAGAACGAGAATTCCAAAAAGGCAAATTATTTTGGAAAAAATTAATGAGGCAATCAGAATATCAGATGAATGCCACCTAAACATTGATTAGATTTGATATAAAGGAAGACTATTTTCGGTGCAGGGCACATCAAAACATTTCAAAACTGAATAAAAATGCTCGATCCATTCTCCAAAATACATCCTACCAAATCTCAGTTAAAATTTGGCATAATGTTTCTTATTAATCACAATCTATGGTCTCCATAGGCTCAAAACTTCACAATAAACACAATACTAACCATACAGGGCATATAATCTGGTTATTATAACATCGAATGTTTAGAAGAAGTTATTTGGGAATGAAAATAGAACAGAATGCAATGATAATAAGCCATCAAATTCTTCCTATTACTTCAGTTTGGTGAATAGCTTCGGTGCAACCTGCATCACAGGATCATGATCAATCAGAGAATACACAAGCAAACCATACGACTCTTAATTACTACTAAACAGTGATACTTACACATTTGTCAATACAAGACCAATAATCAAAATATTGTCCAGTGCAGTGTTTCTGCCCAGACTCGTCACCGTGTATCCTTTTAATGCATGCCTGTAGCAATTTTAAACATTACTTTTCTTGGCCAAGCAAGAACTTAATTTGAAGGAATAAAAAATGAGGCAGAACAAAAATATGCCAAGTTAACACTGACTTTTGAGTATCTATTCAACTAACAAATCAAAATCTAAGGTGCCCAGAAATATACGAGCATTTGTTCTCTCAACTAGAAAGAGGGGAGGGGATGTAAGAGGAAGTCCACACTCATGTGAGCTAAAGGTCTTCACCCTAGCCTGAGTCCTTAAGACTGTGAGTTTGAGGCGTTTGTTCCTCATGAAGTTCCTTTTGTTATTGTGTCAACTCTCCAACAGTACGTGCAAATACTTATTCACATGCTAAGCTAGTAATCCATCAACTAGCAGTTCTGTACAAACTTTCTTCACTTGGAATGAACCCCAAAAACATCCGCTCCTACTAAAGACTACAGCATAATTGTGCCATTCTCAATAGAGTACGAGTGAAGTGCAAAACACGAGAGTAAAGGAAAAGTAGCTGGATTATCATTGTGTAGCTTAACACAATAGCCCAGTTTCGTCACTATCTGACCCACTCATTAACTATAAAACATTCAGATAATAAGATCATAAAACCTTGGCCAAAGACACCAGAAAATTCCAATATTTTCTTCACTACATGGCATTTCTTTGTTCTAGGAAAGAGAGGAATAGAAATAAAGTACACTTTCCCTAGATGTCAGTCTATTCCAACAAGGCACACAAGTGAGATGAGCCTGTCAACTCTCTGCCTAGGACCTATGCCTTTTGGCCACTTGTCTGGAGTTGGCTTTGACAAGTCCACCCCTCTCTTCATTTCTTGACTCTTGCTAGCACCCCGCTTCATCGTTTTTTTCTTATACACTCATCACTATAGAATTGTTTACTCTCTATTTATAAACTTTAGTAAGTTTAGTGGATCATGTCATAAATTTTACTGGTCCATAAGGGACAATATAATTAACCAATAACTCTAAAATTCATTTACAGAGCAAATCTATTATTGATTTCAAAATCTAGATGGCATTTGGGAGCACGTTGAATGAAGATTGATGATAGTCCCTCTGAAGCCAATAGAAGTAGCTTCTGTCTTTGTATACTTTTGATGTGAAAATTATGATTACATGTGTTTTCAACGGGAAACCAAACACACTAAATTAAGAATAAATCTCATCTTCAAATGTTCCAGGTTACAATTCTACACTTTAAGAAAACACACCTGATATTCCAGTAATGGTTTTACACATTTTGGTTTGCAAGACTCTTCAAGATATCTCTTCTGATCAACAGGTTCCTCGTCAGCCCTAAATTCATAATAAAATTCAAAGATAAATGAAATGCAATAAATAGAAGAAAAAATAAAATGAAATGAAAAAAACAAGCAGAAAAGCTCAGAAACACCTAACACCACAATTATACTGAATTACTAAATAAAAACAAACCAAATTCTAATATACGCCATACTCTACAATTTTCAAAAGCAGCCAAGCTAACATTATGACACCTTGATTAATGAGGCAAATTAAAATCAGCACTAGCAAAGCCATTAATATAAAGAAAAAACTGAAAGCTTTCGCAACGAAGTGAAGGGAACCAGGCATATCAAAATGATAAAACGAAACCTATAAACGAAAAAAGGGCTAAAACAGCACATACTTATATGGGTCCTTAGTGATTCTGTTTAATAAATCGAGCACAAGTCCATCATCAAATTCATTCAAAACATCATTTTCGAAGTAATTTATCTCACACATAACAGAACACAAGGCAACTCGAAACGGAAGCAATCATTTCAACACCAACACTGAATATGGAGTATTTATCACTATCAAAGTAGCATCAAACATAATTAGTTAGTGACATACAGCTAACAAACACCCCAAAAAAAAAAATTCTAGCATTGGATGATCCCAATCTCTCAAGGGATCACGACAGTAATGCTGGAAACCAACAACCCCCATTTTGAATTCGCACAATACCCCAATAAACCCAGCATAAAAAAAATCGAACTTCTGCATCAAATTCAAAGAGAAACCCCAAATCACATTCCAATCCCCAAAATTTCTGCGGCAATCAAGCGTGTGCTAAGAATCTCATTATCGCAATCGGTTCTCCATGCGCTTTCCAAATGAAAGCCCCAAATAAAAATGAAATGAATTGCAGCGAAGTTTCGAAACCCTAGATTTAAAAAGCGGGGGCATAAAAGATGGGTTTGCAAGAATAGATCTAGCAGATGAGAAATGAAAGAAGGAGAGAAGGTTGGAGACGTACATTGCAGAGAGGTTGCAGAGCGTTGGAGGTGGTGTTGGGCAGTGGTGTTGATGTTGTTGTTTTGGGCTTTTTCAAAAGCTTGTATTTCGGATCAAATAGTTGTTCGAGTCCCACCCTCCTTCCATTCTATTAAATTAGGGTTCCATCCACCTTCCCAGTGTTGGTCAAATTACAGCACAATTACATTTTTGTGCCTTTTTTTTTTTTAATTTTACTTTTAATTATTTGATTCGATTACAATAGCTTTCATGCTCATCAAATAAAATAGATAGCCCAGAAAGAAAAAAATAAAATAAAATAACATATATATATATA